GGTGGGAAGATGTCTATGGTAACACGGTGGGAAGATGTCTATGGTAATACAGTAGAAGAAAACAGGAAGGAAAGGAATCAGTCTCTCTCCTGGTTTCCAGACCTAATGCCCTGTGTAGTTTTTTCTCTGTTTTTAAGGTGGTAGAGGTCAAACTTTCATATACTACACAAGTTCTCTACCACTGCGGTATACCTCTAGCTCCTCATTAAGTTCTCTGTATATATGTGTGTGTGTCTGTGTATATGTGTTTATGTGTGTCTGTGTGTGTATGTGTGTCTGTGTGTGTGTGTGTGTGTGTGTGTGTGTGTGTGTAGGCCTGAGGACAACCTTGAGTATTATTCCTCAGATGTTGGCAAACTTTTTTAATCTAATTTTTTTTTTTTTAATTACATCCATTTTGGGGCTTGAATTCAGGTCCTCATGCTAGTGAGGCAAACATTTTGCTGACTGAGCTATCTCCCAGCTTCCCTTTAGGTTCTTGGTGTTGCTCTAACTCACATAACTCAAATACTTGTTTCCAAGGGTAGAGAGATAATTTCTATATTTTACTTTGTGCCTCTCTAATGTAACAAAGGCTCTGAACACCAGTAAAACCAGAAGATCTTCCTGCCCACCACTCTGGAATCTACTCTCCCCAAAGCTGGGTGAGGAAGTCAGTCACAGAAAGAGGCTCAGGAAGAAACAAGCAAAACAGCTTTGATGTATGAGAGAGCAGTTCAGATTAGGGCAGCCGGGCGGTGGTGGCACACGCCTTTAATCCCAGCACTCAGGAGACAGAGGCAAGCAGATCTCTGTGAGTTCGAGGTCAGCCTGGTCTACAGAGCGAGTTCCAGGACAGGCTCCAAAGCCACAAAGAAACCTTGTTTCAAAAAACCAAAAAAAAAAAAAAAAAAAAAAAAAAAAAAAAAAAAAAAAAAAAAAAAGGCGCCAGCCAGATAATATCAAGGGGCCGGGGAACTGCAAGAGAGAGCCAGCTTGCACCTCTGGAGATGGGGTGCCACAAGTGGAAAGACTGGTTCCGAAATCCAACCACTGCTTCACTGGCTCAGCTTCAAAACACGGCTCCTTAACTCAGGTATGGAACCCCAGGCAAACTGCTTCATCTCTCCATCTCAGCTTCTCTGTGGTAAACTGGGGACAGCTGGGGTTACTTTTCAGGATTGAAGAAAAAAGAGATGCTATCTCTACGGTATTTAGCAGAATGTCTGGACCTTAGTAACATCAAACACTTGGAATAGTTTTGGTTTGTTTTCAAATCCTGGAGCAGGGGTGGGGGTGGGGGTGGGGGTGGGGGGAAAAGGGAGGTGAGTTACAGACAGGAGAGGAGAGGAAACCACCTTTTGGGGTGGGGTGTTTTTCATTTTTTTTCCCTTGCTTGGTGCATTTGAATGATTTAATTTACTGTGTTCAGTCTTGGAAAGACTGCCTGGGTAAAAGCATTTCCATTCTTCTGCATCTACTCCCTTAACATCAGCACTTGTCTCCTGCATCCCAGGCACAGCACTACAGGGGCGCTGCTGAGACTCGGAAGGCTGCTGTGCACACTGGGCTCTCAGAGGGTTTCCTAGCAGCCCTTAGGAGTGAGCAGTTTTCCAGCTCTGTGTCTGATGTTCGAATCTGCACTGAACTTCATGGCAGCCTCACGATGCTGACTCCACCGTTTCTACTCCGGAGTCACAGATTTGTGGAAGCTTGGAAGGTCTAATGGCCGATGCGTGGAGGGGAGCCCAGAGTCTGAGAAACAGGAGGATATGGGGGGT